TATGAAAAAGCTTTTAGTATATCTTGTAAAGAAGCTTTTAGTATATTTTGCAAAGAAGCTTCTGGTATATTTTGCAAAAAAGCTTTTGATGTACTTTGCAAAGAAGCTTCTAGTATATTTTTTAAGGAACTTAAGCTTTCTTGATCTGACAAGTTAGCATTTTCAGACCTAAATCTGATCATTATTATTTTAGTATTTATTGTACACTATATCTATAAACAAGTTTAGTTCTAATATCAACAAGCTTTTTATTACAAATAATGCAATTGCAAATGATTTTTCTCAATTAAGATATTGTTTTAATCTTGCCTTTTTTAATAAATCCAAAATTGAGTATTTTTTTAACAACATATTTTATAAATTTAAGTTTGAAAATTTTTATATAAAGGATTAATAATTTTGTGTAAAAAAATAAAAAATTTAAATTTTTTTTTTTTAAAAAAAGAAAGCAAATCAAAAATGCTTTTGTAAATGAATATTAACATTTAAAGTTGACCAATATTACTGAACTATATTTCAAATTTTCTTTTTTAGAATTCTTTGATAATTGACAAAATTAGCTAATAAAATAGTATTATTTAGAGATGTTAATTAAATATTTTTACATAGTGAACTATATAGTGATAATACAGTACTGAATACTATATACTATATAAATACAAAGATCTTGGCTATATTTTTTATACAATGTATAAGTGTAGTATACATATAACTATAACAAAATATATTTTTTTTTATAACAATAAAAAACATCGTAATATAGCAGTTACAAATGATAAGAGAACTTTACAAAGAATACATATAATATTTTCTATTTTCTTTATTATACTATATTTTATAATTTAGCTTTTATAGGATGATCTCCATTGTTGTTTAATCTCTCACTCTAGTGGAAGGATATTAGCACCAGAAGTTACACATCTATAAGGATTTGTATCTTTATACATTATATCTACTAAATTTTGTACTTCTTTAAAAGAGTTTGAAGTAATAAGGTTGTGAAAGTAAATCATTAGAATATGATTATTACTCATATTATATAGTTCTTATATTGATAATTGTTCAGATTCAATTAGATTCTGAAACAATATTGAATTTTCTTGCAATATTTGAAAACTTCTCAAAGTAGATTCTAATAATTCTTTAAATTCTTGTTTGCATATAGCAGTAGTATTTAAAGTATCAATATTGGCTTTATTAGATATTAGTTTAGTTGATTCAGGTATATTAAATAGTGATATTACTAAAGCATTGATTCCAAGAATATGTCCTATATAATTAAAAATTTCTTTAGATGAGGTAGTTATAGTACTGTTATCATTATTATCGTAATTATTGCTTTCATTATCTATATTTTTATTCTTATTATCTATATTATCATTATCTTCATTATTAATCTCAGAACTTATTAATATTTCTGATCTGTTAGCATATTGATTATAATAAATTTGTTGAGCTTCTTGGTAAGTTAGAAAAAGTAAATATATATACTGCTCTTGTTTATAAAGTTTATTGATATAAAGAGTAGTAGCATGAAGATGCTTATACAAAATACTAGTTTGAAGAAAGTTAAAGTATTGACAACAAATATCTGTTAGTTGTCCATATACACAGGTTGTATAAATAAACCTAGAGAAAGATTCAGACTTGATTTTAACATAAATTTTTTTACTAGTTATTTCAAATTTAATAACTTTTTTCATTTCAAGTAGTTTTTTTGCTGATTTATTCTGTTTTATACTTAGAGATAAATAGGCAACTTGTGAAAATTCTTGCATTAGAAACTTAAAATTAAATAGATCCATTATATTAAGTTCTTTTTGTTACTCTACTTTCTCATATTCAAGATTTATAGCAAGATTTTATAATATTAAAATATTAGATATAACTTTATATACAAGAACAATATAAAGTATATCAGCTCTAAGAAGATGTTCACTTCTTTAAAATCAATTTAATTAATTATTTTTCAAATATTCATTCATTTCTTCAAAGTGGTTATTCGTAGTAAGAAGTTTTTCTAAAGAAATTTCAAGGGTATTTTTAGTCCTCATTCATCTAATTAGATACTAACTATACAGAAAATCTCTAGCTCACTGTTTAATTAAATAAGAAAGAAATTTCAACTCGTCTTCTAAAAGTTTTTATTTTCTGAAATTGTTTCTGCCTTATATATACTTTTTAACAATTTTTTTTTTTTTAATATATTCACGTACTATCTCTTCACTACTATTCATTAACTAAACCTCTTTTATAATACTTTATAAAAATGATTTTAATATTTGTCTTAAAAGAATTACTTTATTTTCACTACTATGATCTAATTGTTTATTAATTTCATTTTTGCAGTATTGACTAATGTGAAAGAAACAAAGTAGCAAAATAATTTCTGGTCATATTTTAGATAATGATTTTCTTTCTTTAACATCAGCATTAGTTATTATGACAAGAGAACTAAATGTAATTAGAATAGTTAAACGTTAATTATTATTATAATTATTACTAATCTTATCACAAAAGATTATGAAAAGTTGTTCTAAGATCTTGCTATCATATTTAGATAATGTTAATTTATTATTTTTTGGAGATATAAAAAGAATGAAAGCAACAGAAATACCCTTGTTATTGTTATCAATGATCAGAATAATGAATAAGAGTAGTTTATATTTGCTAATTCTGAAAGTTCTATCAACAAGAATGAGGTTTTGATGTCAATATTTCCAAGTATATTCTTGTTGTTCATGAGTATATATAATAATTTCTAGACAGTTCATTTCATTAGTATGAGGTTGATAATACAAGTACCTAGTTTAATACATATATTAATGAAAAGTTAAGGTTAGTTAATTATTATATTTTTTTTTAAAAGAAAGTATAATATAATTGTGAAAAGAGAGTACTGAAGAAAATTTAAAATTTGAATATTAAATTACTTATATTTCTTTAAGCTCAGATTGGTCAGCATCTGGTCTAAGAAACTGATTTAGATTTTTTGCAGTATCATGTTTAATATTTATATTCTAATTTGTCTGTAGCATTTGTTTTTTAATGTTTGTAATATCCATTGCAATAAGCAATATTCTAGAATTTCCAACTACAATACAATTTTTAAAGATATTTTTTATGATTCTTATATTTTGAATAAGAATATCTGAAGTTCTTACATTAAGACTCAATAAATTTTCTACACTTTTCTTTATATATAATAGAAGCTTATACTAGAGATTACTTTGTAGCTAAGAAATTATATATTAATTAGAATATTCCAGATACCTTACAATACCACAAATTTCATTATTATAAAGAGAAATTGTAACAAATACAAGACACCTTATATAAGGATAGCGAGCTGTTGAAACTTGAAAACCAGATACAACTACTTTTTTATGATAACTTCTATATATGTATTGTTTAACAATTAATATTTTATTCAAGTATCAGATAGACTATTTATATTGTATATTTTTAGTGTTAATATCAAGATTATTTTTCTGAAAAAATTAGTCATGATCTATAATTTGATCTTTGTTAAATAAATCTTATTCCTTTTTAATTACTCTAAACACACTCTTTTCTAGTAAATTATTAAGTATAACTTTGTTATCTTCTGTTAGAAGAAGATATAAGTTTAGCTTTGCTTTAACTCAAGGTTTATAACTTTTTTTTTTTTTAATTTTGTTAGAGATTTTGAATTTTGATGAAGATATATTAATCTGAAGTCACTAGAGCTAGAATAGTATGATCAAATGAGTATATTTAATATTTTTATGAATATTTGCCTCATATTTTTTTTTTAATTTATTTATAGATACTGATATTTGTGTAAAAGATATATGTAGTTATAATTACATTACTTAGTTATATTATTTTAAAAATATGTTATATAATTTAATGATTAGATATAACTAAGTGATGTAAATATTTCTACATCTATAACAAATATTTAATTTTAAAAATTTTTAATTAATTTATAGAGGTTTCAGAATTAAAGATTTAATAAGTTAAGTAATATATTTTTTTCGAAATAAATAATTTACAAGTTCTATTTTATTTTAAGTGTAAGCTTATTTATAGTATGATGCTTTTACATCAACTTGACAATAAAATTATTGTATTTTTCAATAAAACTTGATATTTCTTTACTTGTATACTGTAATAAATTCTTGAACTTGATATATATATGGTTAATACCTATTACAATAGTATTATCAAACAAAAAGTTTATAAATTTTATAATTTAAATACTCATTTTAATTAAAACCTACAATTTATTTATTTATATTATATAAATTATTATTATTTTTTACTAATAATTATTTAATATATTTTACTTATAATTATTTAATTTATTTATAAATTAAAACTTTAATGATTATGTAATTACAAGTAACTTTAAAGCTAGCATTACAAAATTCTTCATTAAATTTTTTTTTGATTTATTTATTTATAAATTAAAACTTTCCTGATTACATAAATTTAAAGCTAGTATTACAAATGTTTTGTTAATTCTTATTTTTTATAAATTAAAACTTTTATAATTATATGAATTTAAAACTAGTGTTACAAAATTCTTTATCACAATGATTAAAGTTGTACATGTGACTTGTTGTACACTCTTCATGTAATTACAAACAGTAGGGACTATTAATAGATATCCCGTATGCAATTCTAATAAAATTCCTTTGGCAATGTAAGCCGCCTTAATAACAAAAAAAAAAAAAAAACAAAATTCTTTATCAATTTTATTAATTTATTTTTTTATAATAATAATTATGATTGATATTGATATTAGTAAATTATTTCAAAATATTGAAACTGACCCTTTGGATATAGCTGTATATTAATACTAATAATACAATATACAGTATATTAGTAGTGATATTACTACTATTTTCTAATAATAAAAAAACTTATTTGAGTATGTTCTAATAATAAAAAAACTCACTTGAGTGTGTTCTAATAATAATAAAAAAACTTCACTAGAGATTGCTAGAGTTAACTATACTATATAACAAATAAATTACCAGTGATAATATTGTGTTTAATAATAAATAGTTCATGTATATATAATAATAATAATTATTATTTCATAAAGTTATTCAATTAACATCTCTGAATAAATGTCTGGTGATCTTAGTGTAGTAGTTAGGTTGCCGAACTACCATGCAAGAGGTCTAGGGTTCAAATCCCACTGTCAACAGAATTGAATAATTACCTAGATATCTGTATCCAACTTATAGTAAACTCTGTTCGTTTCTGGAGTTGTAACTCTGTAAATCACATTGTACTAATGCTATTTGGGGTATTGGAAGTGTGATGGGGTATTTGGGAGAGTGTAATATTATATGAATAAATCTTGATAGAATCTATGACAGAGGACCTGCATAGTAGAAATCCTGAGTTAGGTGAAATAGTACGGATTTTGATAGTCATACTAGTTAACGTCTAATCTAGAAAAGGAAATCTGCATATGAAAAAATCAGTGAAATAGATACGAGTAAGTCCTAAGTATAGAAGGATCAATAAAACAGGTATGAGTAAGTCCATTACACAAGGTTGTACAGCAATACCAACCTGGCTTGGTGGCTAACTGGACTTGAGAGGATCTGTCTTATGTGATATCTGGCAGCAAAGCAGGCAACACTAAGCAACAGATTTGGGAGAATCTACTTCGTGTAATATCTGGAGGCATGGATGACTAACTTGGTGAAAGACCACAGTAGGAACTGGGTTTGTATGAACATCGAACAAGGGTATATGCAAGCTAGATTAGGATATAGCATAGCATATTTGAGTACCACAGCACCTATCGATTAAGAAGTTGGTAAAAGGATACCTGAGATAGGCCTAGGCTTCGAATCATAAAGTTTGTGAATTCATATTAGCTTTGTTGATATCTTCCAAATATAGAAGTAGTACGGGGTTAGGTAATTTAGGTAATAAATGATAGTAGGATAGGAATGGCATATAGCTAGAGAGTTTAAATAGGGAATTTTCAAATAAATTTCAGATATAGCAACTAGTGTAGAACCTTCAGGTGGACTACTTAAATTAGACAATCTAAAGTTGTATGTGTGGCTAGTTGTATTTTCATATATGTAATCATTACTCAAAACTATCTATACTAATAAAAATCTCGCTGATGATATGTTTATCAAGTAAAAAAAAAAAAAAAAAAAAAAAAAAAAAAAAAAAAAAACATATCCGAATAACACTATTTTATTGACTAATTTTGTTAATCATCAGAAAATTACAAAAAAGGAAATTTGAATATAGTT